CAGACTGGTACAAAGAAGGTTCAGGATGTTGTGGGTACTGTACATGGTATTAAGGTCCGCATAATTGACACACCAGGCCTTCTGCCTTCCTGGTCTGACCAACGCCAGAATGAGAAGACCCTTCATTCTGTAAAGAGTTTCATTAAGAAAACACCTCCAGACATCGTTTTGTACCTTGATAGGTTGGACATGCAAACCAGGGATTTTGGTGATATGCCCCTCTTGCACACTATCACTGAGATTTTTGGTCCATCTATCTGGTTTAATGCAATTGTGGTTCTGACTCATGCAGCTTCTGCTCCACCTGATGGTCCTAATGGTGCAGTTTCTAGTTATGACATGTATGTCACTCAGCGCACTCATGTTGTCCAGCAGGCTATTCGTCAAGCAGCTGGAGATATGCGGCTCATGAATCTGTTTCATTAGTGGAGACCACTCTGCATGTAGAACAAACAGGGCAGGCCAGAGAGTGTTGCCAAATGGTCAGGTTTGGAAGCCTCATTTGTTGCTTCTTTCCTTTGCTTCTAAAATTCTGGCTGAAGCGAACACACTTTTGAAGTTGCAAGATACTCCTATGGGAAAGCCTTTTGCTACTCAATCGAGGACACCTCCTTTACCTTTCCTTCTATCATCTCTTCTTCAGTCAAGACCACAAGTTAAGCTGCCTGAAGAGCAGCAGTATGACGATGAGGATGATTTAGATGATGATTTGGTGGAATCCTCCGACTCTGAGGATGAATCAGAATATAATGAGTTACCACCTTTCAAGCGGCTGACTAAAGCACAGGTAGCTAAGCTTACGAAAGCTCAAAAGAAGGCATACTTTGATGAGTTAGAATACAGGGAAAAACTTTTTATGAAAAGCAACTGAAGGAAGAGAAAAGGCATAGGAAGATGAAGAAGAAAATGGCAGCAGCAGCAAAGTCAGCCAAGTGAGTATGGTGACAATGCAGAAGAAGAAAACAGTGGTGCTTCTTCTGTTCCAGTTCCTTGCCAGATTTGGCATTGCCTGCTTCTTTGATTCTGATAATCCTACTCATCGGTATCGTTACCTTGATTCCTCCAACCCGTGGCTTGTGAGGCCTGTTCTAGATACTCACGGTTGGGATCATGATGTTGGTTATGAAGGTATTAATGTGGAAAGATTGTTTGTTGCTAAAAATAATTTTCCCATTTCATTTTCTAGTCAGATTACAAAGGACAAAAAGGATGCCAATGTCCAAATGGAACTTGCCAGTTCTTTGAAGCATGGGGAAGGTAAAGCAACTTCTGTAGGTTTCGATATGCTGACTGTTGGAAAGGACTTGGCCTACACGCTACGCGGTGAGACAAGGTTTAGTAATTTCAGGAGGAACAAGGCGAATGCTGGAATCTCAGTTACACTATTAGGTGATACATTATCAGCCGGAGTGAAAGTTGAAGACAAAGTGATTGCTAATAAGCGGTTTCAGGTTGTCATGACAGGGGGTGCCATGAGTAGTCGTGGTGATATTGCTTTTGGGGGGCAGCTTGGAAGCACAATTGAGGGACAAAGATTACCCTCTGGGTCTCTCCTCGTCTACACTCGGGCTTTCTGTCATGGATTGGCACGGAGATCTTGCTGTTGGATGCAATATACAGTCGCAAGTTCCTGTTGGACGGTCTACGAACTTAATAGCACGAGCCAATTTGAATAACAGAGGTGCAGGACAAGTCAGCATACGAATAAACAGCTCAGAACAACTTCAGCTTGCTTTGATTTCTCTCTTTCCCTTACTGAAAAAGCTACTCGTTTTTCCCCAACAGATGCGGTATGGACAATGATGAGAACTAGGTTCCAAGCGCTGCTGTATCAGCTGCATGCAGTTATAGGACATTTTTAAGACGACTCTCTATTAGCTATATCCTGAAATTTCTTCAAGTATCATACTTTAAAGATAAAACTATATATCGGCAGATTCTAGGGATTGTAGTTTCTTTGTCATATTATTTTGCATAAGATCACTTTGGTTCCATCTTGCCTATATTATATTTGTTTTGATGAGTGCAAAAAGTCAATACATCTTGAATTTGGTTGGTCCCAAGTCCCCACCATTTTTTTGTTATTGTGACTTGAGTTCTTGGTACAACATAATAAAATATCTTAATTAATATATATATTTTTCATAACCTAAACGAATATACATACAACTTGTGTTAAAACATTTACTCTCTTTCATTAACCCAAAAAATTCAAATGCACCGTATGCATTTAGTCCCAACACATAATGCCAAGATCCAAACTATATATCACTTGACTAATTTTCAAGAAAAAAGGAAAGTGATAAAATAGAAGTTCTGATAAAGAAGAAACTGTAGCTGTAAGCTGCCATTGTTGCAAATGCTAATTACCCAAGTACCAAAGAAGCTACACTAGGACACAGGACAAGGGCCCATTGATTGAAGCGTTTCATGACTGACTCGGATTGCAAATCAATTTCCAAAACTATTGGAAATGCTCAGCGACTTAACTATTCCACATGATTCATTTCAATTACAAAATACCAGAACAAGCATATGTAATCAAACATCCTTTCCTCTCTAATCTGTCTCCCATTATACTGCAAAAACCCAGACACACTTTTACTTCCGTTCTCAATCTCCTTGGCATAAAAAAGACCTGGTAATTTTTCTTTTTACTACTACTTTCTTATGGTATTTATTGCCTTTTTTTCCTTTTACCTCAAGAATCTTTAGTATGATGGACTTTTGCTGCATGAAGCTGAGACCTTTGAAGAGGCTGTTGGTGGTTCCAAGTGATGTTGGACCTTAAGAGGATGTGGTGCCAAGTGACCTCAGGGGGATGTGGTTCCAGGTGACGTTGGACCTCAAGTGAATGTGATTGTGAGCAAGGTTGTAGCTCAGGAGAATGTGGCACTGTCAGTGGGTGAGCAGAAAGTGCGGAACTGTTGGGCGGGGGAAATGTTGGTGGAGGTGTGGTGTCTGATAAAATTGACGAAGGAGGGTCTGAAATGGGAGCAGGGCTGATGAACTGAGTGGTGGAAAAGAGGTGCCTGAAATTGTTATTACGGGAGAAACTGAAGTCCCAAGGGACGAGAACGATGGAAATATGAAGTTCGATACAGTAATTGAGAAGCATGCTCATGGAGATTCTGGTACAGAAAGTTTAGAGGGCACATTGGCTGATAAAATTTTGGAAACCCTGGAAGTTGCTAAGGTGTAGGAGGGTGTTAAAATGGATCCAAAGTTGGAAGTTTTGCCTTCTGCATAATATACACACCAGGCAATCTGCCTTCCTGGTCCGACCAATACCAGAATGAGAAAACCCTTCAATCTGTTAAGCGTTTCATTAAGAAAATCCATTTCCATATTTCGTGTTGCACCTTGATTGGTTGGACATGCAAACCAGGGATTTTGTTGATATGCCCCTCTTGTGCAACATCACTGAGATCTTTGGTCTTTCTATATGGTTTAATGCAATTGTGGTTCCGACTCATGCAGCTTCTGTTCCACCTAATGGCCCTAATGGTACAGCTTCTAGTTATGATATGCTTGACACTCAGAGCGCACATTTTGTCCAGCAGTCTTTTCTTCAGGCAGCTGGTGATATGAGGTTCATGAATCCTGCTTCATCAGTGGAGAACCAATCTGCAATACAGAACAAACCGGGCAGGCCAGAGAGTGTTGCCAAATGGTCAGGTTAATTTGGAAGCCTCCTTTGTGTCTAAAATTCTGGCCGAAGCAAATACACTTTTGAAGTTTCACGATACTCCTCCAGGCAAGCCTTTTGCTACTCAAACGTGGACACCTCCTTTACCTTTCCTTCTTTCACCTCTTCTACAATCAAGACCACAAGTTAAGCTGCCTGAAGAGAAAAATGGTGATGAGGACGATTTATATGATGATTTGGTTGAACCCTATGACTCTTTCAGTATAAATCAGAATTTGATGAATTACCACCTTTCAAGCGGCTGACTAAAGCTCAGAAGAAGGCATATTTTGACGAGTTAGAGTATACGGAAACCCTTTTTTTTTTAATGAAAAAGCAACTGAAGGAAGAGAAAAAACAGCGGAAGATGATGAAGAAAATGGCTGCTGCAGCTAAGGATCAGCCAAGTGAGTCTGGTGACAATGCAGAAGAAAGTGGTGGTGCTTCTTCTGTTCCGGTTCCCATACCAGATTTGGCATTGCCTGCTTCTTATGATTCCAATAATCCTACTCATCGGCTCATGGGCCACGGCTATGGTTACCTTGATTCCTCCAACCCGTGGCTTGTGAGGCCTGTTCTAGTCTCTTTGTTAGATATTTTGCATAAGGTTACTTTTGTTCTCTCTGACTGTAAGTTCTTGGCTATAGTATAAGAAAATGAGTTATACCAATATGTCACTTTATAAATGATATTTTACGTCAATACATTTATGTACAGTTGCAGGTCTACTTGCATCAAATTGGATTAAAGATTTTGATAATTTTTTCTTGCAAACAGCACATCAATATAAACAATGTAAGGTGTATATAATCATTTAAAACAAAAACTAGGCTTTAATCACGTATTCACATCTGGTTTTGCCAGAAAGTTCTCGATAAAGTGCACAAACAGTTAACCGACATCAGTGGTTATGGCTCAGAAATCCTTTGCAGCAGATGCACAGATACTCTGTTGCTTTTCTTTGCTCTTGCGGCTGACAGGAACCGATCATCTTTCTCAACTGCAATTCCTATAAATATCTGCCCTTTTCGAGTAAAACTCGGTCAGATATGATGAAACCTTGTGGAAGACCATGCTGGAATACTTGTTCAGAGTATGTTGAAGAATGAGATGAGTTGTAAGATAGTTGAAGACCTCTTGGAAGCACATGCTGTGGGATAACATACGGGTGTCTAGTAACATACTTGCACTCCACCCGTGGTTTGGATCGACAACAAAGCACTTGGCTAAAAACTCCTTGCCTAAAATCGACACATTCTCCGGTATGTTGGGTGATTCTCCCCTCAAAAGCTTGTTCATTAAATCGTTTGCATCATAACTCTCCCATGGCAATCTGTTTCCTGTAATCATTTGAATGACGATGCATCCCAGAGACCATACATCCAAATGCACCAGTAACTTCTTTAGCTATCCCAAATTCAGCTATCTTTAGATTAGGCAAACCAGTACCGTCTTGAGGAGGGAAGACCAGAATGTTCGCCGGTTTTAAATCAGAGTGAACGAACCTTTTCGATGAATGTTCAAAAGCCCTCCAAGTATCATCCGTGTATACAATTGATATCTCTTCCGGTATCTTGCCGCCATACTTGTTTATCACGTCTTCCAGATTACCTCCTGAAGCATACTCGAGAAACATGTTGTAAACCACTCCTCGTTCTCGTTCAATGCTTGTGAATCCACCATAACACTGAACGATATTGGAGAATTGACAGACTGTTGAATGATTTCTTGTTATTTCCGTAGAGAAGGAGAGTGATCCTCATCAACCTACTTCATGGCATACACCTGATTATAAAGAGGAGTTTTCGTTTTCACCAAATGCACAACGCCATAGGAACCTTTTCCAAGAACCTTTATCTTCACTACCTTGACGTCCATTCTTCCGATTTGTTTTTTTTCTTTATTCTCAACAGAACCAATTTTTGTTTTTGTTATATAATAAACCAATCAAATTTGATACATGCACTTACGAGTTTAACTTTGATTCATTACATCTACATGCATATTAAATTTTGATAAATGAAAACTCATATATAAAATATGAAATATTCTCTAAAGTACTACATATCAATTTATCAATAAATTAATAAAATATTTATTTATTGATTAACTAACAATATCGATAAAATAGTTTTGGGTAGATTATATAAATAATCCTTCAATTGTAGGGTGTTGCTTTAATGAGTTCATTGATTATTAAAAGTTATGAAGTGATCCATTGATTATATGAAATTACTTTGTTGAGTTTCCTGACTATTAAAAGTTATAAAATGGTCATTCGACTAATCATATGTTATAAACTCGTCATTTTCTATTAAAAATATGGCAATTTGAGCTGGACGTTAATATGTTGACTGTGCTATGATAAAATTTGATCTTAAAATCTCAATCGACTATCATATCTGAGTCAACATGTTAACGTCCAGCTCATACTGTCATTAAATTTTTAATGGAAAATAATGAGTTTGGAACATATGAATAGTCAGATGACCATTTTGTAGTTTTTAATAGTCGAGAGACTCAACAAACCAATGTCCTATAATTATAATTTTTAATAGTCGAAAGACTCAACAAATCAATACCTTATAGTCAAGAGACCATTTGTGTAATTTACCCAATAATTTTGATAAACTAATTTTTTATATATCCACGAAAATGTTGGAGTAGGTACAAAACAATTGTTAAATTGGTCTCCCTTGTTTTTTTGGTCGTCGTTGCCTCGTTGGTGGTGGCTTGTCTTCTCTGCTTTTCCCTTATTTTTACCATTTATTATTTCCTTGATAGATTCCTTTTATTAAATTAATACACATGGCAGCGGCCCAAGCCCATAAGAGAACAACAATATATATATATATATATATATGGATAAACTACTTATTTGGTCCCTCATCTATTAATTACTTTTTTGGTTACTCAATTATTATTATTTTTCAAAATCATACCTAACGACTAACATTACATTTTGTTTTTGTTTTGATTATCTATCATTACAAAAGTAATGGTGATATTGATGTGTCACCATAAGAAAATATCACTTTAGCATTAAAAAATAATAATAAAAATATTACATCAGCGTCACTATTATCTTTTTAACATAAATAATCTAAACAAAAACAAAACATAATATCACATATGATTTTGATATAAAATAGTAATTAGATAATCAAGACAAAAACTCAGAAGTAGGTAGGGGGCCAAATAAGGTAGTTTACACTGGTGGTTCTCAGGCCTTGTTTAATGAGTTACCAAGTAGAGCATATATTTTTATCAATTTAGTGTTTGGTGGACTTGTAGGAAGGAGAAGGGATGGATCCAACATCAATGGAAGAAGGGCTAGATTTGATGCTTAAGGTGATTTCATCAGTTGTGTTGGCTGGATTTCTGGGGTTGCTTTTTCGTTCTTACAACGATGTGCTTCTGAAGCCAAAAAAACTTAGATTGAAACTTGAAAAACAAGGAATCAGAGGGCCATCCCCTTCATTCTTGTATGGGAACATTCACGAAATCAAAAGGATCCAACTTCAAGCTCAGAAAGATGTCAAAGCTGCTATTTCTCATGACTGGTTTCCCAATCTCTTCCCCTTTTTAGACAAGTGGATAAACGAATATGGTAAGATTGCATCAAAATCTGCTACGAGTTTGCAGATGTAGAAGATTGACTTTGATCTTGTTTCCTTTATAGATTAAAGGATCGCTTTTGTTTTGTGATGACAGGGTCTGTGTTCTTGTATTCAACTGGAAACCTACAGCTACTCTGCACGACGGATATGGAAATGGTGAAGGAAATAGGCCTACACAAGTCATTAAGCTTAGGGAAGCCAACTTATCTAACCAAGGACCGTGGCCCTCTCCTGGGACAAGGCATTCTATCCTCCAGTGGCCTCATTTGGGCACACCAACGTAAAATTATTGCCCCACACTTGTTTCCCGACAAGGTTAAGGTAACTCTTTGTCTGGATCACCTTTCATTTTACTAGCACGTCTAAGTCTTGCATGTATAAATTAATATCACTGCCTCCAATCTGAAGGGCATGGTGAACCTACTGGTGGATGCTACTATTTCGATGCTTAAATCTTGGGAGAGTAGAGTTGAAGTGGAGGGAGGCATTTCTGAAATCGTAGTCGATGACGATTTGAGAAGCTTGTCTGCTGATATAATTTCGAGAGCCTGTTTTGGCAGTGATTACTCCCGAGGGGAAGAAATATTCTCAAAGTTAAAAGCACTGCAATTGGCCATGACCAAAGCTAACATTGGGATTCCTGGTATGAGGTATGATTTTCATTTCAATGAATATCAGCTTCATATGATATACATATATGTTGAAGGTACTTGCTCTTGCAAAATGTTGAAGGTACTTGCCAACCAAAAACAACAGAGAGATATGGAAATTAGAGAAAGAGGTTGATACTTTGATATTGAATGTGGTAAATCAACGCATCAAGGAGGCTAAACACAACCGGGATCTTTTACAAACGATACTCGATGGTGCTGATGATTTCGAGGGGCTATCTAAGGAGAGGTCATAGTGGACAACTGCAAGAATATGTATTTTGCTGGTTATGAAACAACTGCTACTACAGCTTCATGGACCTTGATGTTACTTTCCGCTTACCCAGATTGGCAGGCTCGTGTTCGTGCTGAGCTGCTTCAAACTTGTAAAGGCGGCCTTCCAGATGCTAATGCGCTTAGAAACATGAAGACGGTATTGTTAATATAACAACAAGCTCTGCATCGATTCGCAATGTTTTAATCATTGTTTCCCCCTTTGCAGCTCACAATGGTAATTCAAGAGACGTTACGCCTATACCCTCCTGCAACATTTGTGATAAGGCAAGCGTTGGAAGACATTGATTTCAAAGGCATCAGGATTCCGAAAGACATGAACATCCAAATTCCAATCCCGAGTTTACAACAATCCCTTCAACTGTGGGGTCCGGACGCTCATGAATTCAATCCAGAAAGATTCTGTAATGGGATTGTTGAGGCTTGCAAGGTTCCGCAGGCCTACATGCCGTTTGGTATAGGGACTAGAATATGCGCTGGGCAACACTTTGCAATGGCAGAACTAAAGGTGGTACTATCTCTGCTTTTATCCAAGTTTTGCTTCTCTCTATCACCAGCATACCTTCACTCCCCTGCATTTAGGCTGGTTATACAGCCTCAAAACGGAGTCCGTCTCTATGTAAAACGGGTTTGACGTAAGAGATCTTATCGGAATATTTTAGAGCCTCAACATGGAAAATAAAATAAAAAATGGTTTGTAAGTTGTTGGAAAAAAAACTTGGCCAATTCCTTTCAATGTGCATGTGAATTTGAGTGTGTTTGAATTCTGACTTTTAATTTCTGTATACTACCTTCTCGACAACACATTCAAAAGCAGAAAACACATTGCCCATAATTGCAAATGTTTTTGCAGGACTCCAGCTTCTTGTCCCCATTTGCTTTAAGTTATAAATTTATTTACCATTTAAGGTTGTTGGTATGTTTAAAGAATCCAGAAACAGGTTGTATTTGCCGATGATATTGTTTGTTGCAGTCTCTGTACGTGTTTCTTTGTCCAGAATTTTTGACTACTTTATAGGACGTGTTACTTTTCCTTTTTTTGAGGGCTAAAAGTAAAATCCTTTCCTTTTGCGAGGAAGTATGTTAATAGTTTACGTTGTTATAACATTTTATATCATCATTTATATGCATATGATAAGTATCATGTCATCGTTTTGAACATATAAAATATATCATGTTTGCCTATTAGTCAATTAACGATTTTTATTTGACCTAAAATGAAATATTAAGGGCTAAAGTATTTCAGAGAAAGAATAGCGATCAAAGTAATTACTCAATCAAGTATTAATAGTGAATTTTGATATTATGCCTTGATGAGCAAAATAATATTGTGGCAGTTGTAGTCATCTCTTCAATTTGAGTAGAGACCCGCAACTGATGGTCCATGATGGACTTATAGACGCTCAATGTCGTCTAGTTTTGAAGGTTTGAAGAGAGTGTGTGTGAGAGAGTTCGAGAAGAAGAAACTTACTCTTCTATTTGTCATATGAGTTTATATATTGATATTTATTGTTGGTGTCAGATGTAGGGCAATAGTGGCAACTTGTAGGTTGACATATTTGAATAGATTTAGCTGTCAAATATTAGATTGTAGATCACATATTACAATATAGATTTAGATCTCGGTGTCCTTATTTTTAAAGGAATATAATGATAAATTTATTATTATGGTTTATTTTTAAAGGATTTTGATGGGTTCTACATTAGGTTTGTGAAGTAAAAAGTATTTTTTTTATGAAATGAACAATTGATTCACGTTTAGGAGGTTAAAAAAGAGCGGACTATAAATTTTGGGATCCAACAATTGTTGGTGGTGATCGATGATGGAAACCAACGATGACTGATGACGATGATGAGCACTGATTGGCACGAGGACTTTGACTGGATTTAAGGGTCAAATTGATATTTTATATAAACTTCATAGGTTAAATTAATATTTTATCTAAAAATTAGGTCTCAAGTTAAAATTTAAACATTTTTACTAACGTGTCATGTTATCAAACTAACTATAGTTAATGACTCGGTGAACAAGATAAGAGAAATCGAAAACAAAAGTGACAAGAATGTAACTTTTTCAAAATTTTGGCCAAAATAAGATAGATCGAAAATAAATAGGACTACTGTCAGTTTACCCAAATAATAATAAGGCATAATGACAAAAAATGTGTCTAACGGTTGACTAGATAGTCATTTAGGCATGAACCAATCGACTTTACTGGTTAAAAGATTTGTAGTTTTTCCTTGAGGTCCCGAGATCGAGCACCTCGTGTGCCAGGGATATGAGCATTTGTTGGCAAATTATTGAGAGTCTTTAAACATGTATTGTCTTCTATTCATTTCAAATTTATCAAAAAAAAAATATTCAGTTAGGTCTATATTATTTTTAAGCATTTTAGCATCTAACGTTTCATTTTAAAGTAAAAAAAAAATCCACATTGTTTGACTAAATAATCACTTTAACCATTTTTTGAGCATTTTTGGCAACCAACGTTTCATTTTAGGACAAAAAGACTCATATTTTAAAGCATTGATAGTTTGTTAACTAATGATTTCTATCCACGGAGGGGTATTTTTGCCCAAATACAAAACGTTAAGGCCAAAATGCTCCAAAAAAAAAAAAGAGTCAAAGTTACTATTTAATCAAATGTTAAAAGACATTTTTTTATCACGATACCTAATAAAAAATAACATAATTATTTAATATTTTAAAATAACAAAATGACCTCTATTTATTTTAAAGAAATTGAAAATAATTATGTTATATAGATCTAGATCAGATGAAAATGGACTTAAACAAACTAATTAGCTTCCTTGAAAAATTATTTAGCTACGTAATGTACTTGGTTGCATTAGTCAATTAACTACCTAATTACATAGGTACTTAGACTAAAATTATACATGGTATAACATGAATATTGATACTCCACCTTTTCAGAACTGCAGGCAAGTTCCTTAATTAGCTCGTCAAACACTATTTAAATGTATATTTTCCTCAGTCAATATTGGTACAATATTTATTTTATCATGGAAAACAGGTACAATATATGTAGTATATAAATTTATAATAAAACTTAGAGATGCTTCCTGAGAAATTCAACACGTATCGATTAATGAAATAATTTGGGAAAAACAACACTCATCTCAAATTTAAGTCAAATGATTATTATATATATATATATATATATATATCACAAATATTTGGAAAAACAAGATAAATAACTTTTTTTTCCTAAGCCAGATGAATTTTATTGAACAGAAAATTAGTCTAATAAATATAGGATCAGTAGCTTTATTCCAACAATAATTCTTCACAGAATTACAACAATTATCAATGCCTATATCTCATAGGAATGTACTCCCTTACCGATCTTAGTAATGGTACAGAGTAACGTTGAACTCCACAATGGTATCGCCTGTCGTCAAATTCAAAAAGCTGTTCCGAATTAGAGCGAACCCGCTGGCCATCCTAAACGCACCTCTGCCTCCCACAATAGACAATTCAAAAATCATATATTTATGATCTCATTAATAATTAAACTTATCAGTTTGTATTAATTTTATTATTTGACTTGATCAAAAGTCTTTGATGTGGAATTATTTATCAATATTTTGAATGGTTTTTTTTATAAATATATTAGGTAGTCAAGTATAATTTTGATGTAGAATTATTTATCATTTTTACCATAACAAAATGGTTTGAATCTCTTAGTCTTTTCCTAAACTAAAATAATTTATACCTCGATTTCAAAATTAATAGCTAAAAATCAAACCTCAAAGAAGAAGAGAAAAAATCAAAGTCAATTTTCATTGAAAAGGATAGGTCCCAAAATATATGATATTGGTATGAGCATCATAATTTTCTGAATCATATAGTTGGAGTATATACCTTGTCACATCATCTTTATATCACTAAACTTTTATTTTTTTTTATCAATTATAGCATTAAACTTTAGTTGTACATTCAATTATGTCCCTCTGCCGTTAAGTCACTAATATGACAATGATATAACTAACGATCGTTGACGTGGTAAGTCACACCAAAACTACATCGTTTTGGTTTGGTTATTATGATGCCTGAAATGACACCATTTTAGACACTAAACTTTAGGTATGTATCGTTCTTTGCCAATGAACATTTAAACAATTTACCTTTTTGGCACTACACTTTTCGGTCATCAATGAAAGCTAATCACCGCACGTAATCAATCATTTTTCGTAGCAAAATTGGTTCTAAAATGTTCACACTTTTCATTTTTCTCGCATGATTAGTTTTCCACGAAACCCACTTAAAATCGACGAAATGAAACAAAAAAAATCTACCGTTTTTTTAGATGTTTAGAGACTTTCTCATATTGATATTATTTTGGATGATTTTTAAAAAATCTAAACGGTGAAAAATATTATTTTGAGAGGACGAGCAATATACCTCAAAACTAGCTTCACCAAACAATCATCGAAAGATATCGAAATATTAATATGTCAAACTTTTAAATTAGTTTTCGTCGAAATATTAATATTTCTAGTGAAAGAAAGAGGAATGAAATACAAACGTTTTGGAATCGATCTTGTTGTGAAATATGACCAGTGATGGGCAATACATGATTACCGACGGTGGCCAGAAAGTACAATGCTAAACACTGGCGGACCCGACCTACTAAGAGGGGTGTCATATGACACCCCAATTTTTTTTTTGAAAATGTATTTATAACTTAATATAAAAATATTTCAAAATAAAATAAAACAAACATATTTTTAAAGAATATTAGTATCTTTAAACATAAATTGACACCCATTATTCATTTTCATCCAATTGAAAATTCTTTTCATATAATTTCTAAATTTGACATCTAAAATAATTTTTTTTAAATTGTCTCCTTAAAATAAATTTTTTAATTCCACCCCAGGTGCTAAAAAGAAAATTATTTAAAAATTAAGTGGTAAAATGATACACTCCAAAAATTTTATATCTATAAAAACGACACTTTAAGCATCAAAATAACCACACGAAAACAATGTCATTTGACTACAAATATGGTGGAAAATCTTCAATCTTAGATATAATTTTTCAATTTTTTATTTACAAAGCTTACTACATAGTTCATAGTCCAAAGCTAATAATTTTTTATACTTTCAATTAAAATAAGTCGGAAAATTTGAAAATATAACTTAATTAAATGTTAAATTCCAGCAAACGATGCTTATAGGAAGGAAGAAATTCATCGAACAGCATAATTTATTATAGTAACGTTTAGTGTAACAAGGGCCAATAAATTGTTCTTTTTAGGATAAACTACATAAGATGTCATCAAATTTTAGGAGTTATATTATTTATATCATTAAATTTTTTGATTATTTTTTTTTGGTATAACATCTGGTTTTCAATTTATTGTTTGATTAATCTAGATAGAGTAATGCAAAAGCTCATAATGACAATGACCCTTTCAATCTAGTTTTCTCTATTTACAACGTTACAATTTGAATCTTTAACTTTACTTAAAAAAATTAATATCTCATCTCACTGGACCAATTAGTTGCGGGTACCCTTAGAATTATTAAAAGCTCCTCGCCCATGGTGACTTAATACTTTTTTCCTGGGTAAGGTTAACCCCATTATCTCTCGACGTTTAGTAAACGTAATGCACGAAAGCAATTTGTTCAATACGTATAAAGTTCAATATCCTTTGTGTTATTGGATTCTTTATTTCCCCAATTATAATTCACAGAATTACAACAGTTATTGATGTCTGGTTTAGTAATGGTACAAAGTAACATTGAACTCGAGACTAGCATCCCCATTCATGAGGTTTACATAAGTTGCCCGCGTCAGAGCATACCCTCTGGCCATCCTAAACGCACCTCTCCCTCCCACTATTGCCATTTCAATAACTTGTTCCTTGGCTCGAGCGATTTCCGTAATCGGAAACTGCGAGAAAAATCTGAAGGAGCTCCCATTGAACCTGCCACTCGTAAACGAAAAATCAGTGTACAAAACTGCACCGAACAGGGTAGGGTCTTTAGCGGTCCATACGTAGAGCCCTTGGGCGTTTCCGACTCTCCTCAATGTTTGTTCTGGTCCCACGGTCAGGGGATCATCCATCGCAATCAAGTTGAGGTATAGGCCTGCGTTGGTGGTGTTAGGACGGGCTATTGGGACTGCACCAGGGTTGGTGCCACTGAGGATATCGTGGAAGAAGAAGTGGAGTCGGGTCAACTTCCCCGGCCGAGGCGGTGGCATAACAGTTTCAGAGTAGTATTGGCCATAGACTGGTGCTATGGCGAGCCAAAATATCATTGCGGATGCAACTATTATAATCTGTTTACCATTTGATCTCTGCACCGATTTTTACAAATCAATATTCTATAACAAAGGGACGATTAAAATAAATTCGATGATTGATGGTTATTTTTTATGGTTTCGGATTCAAATACAACTTCAAAAAGAGTAATCCAAGGTTTTATTGAAGCAAAGTAATTCAAGAATTGGCGTGGAGCATAGACAACTTTAATTGCTCAAAGGCTTCCTTAGTTTTTTCAATCCATTCAAATGTTTTTCTCCTTTTATAAATCGTGGTGTGGGCACGACGAATTTCATGAATTCAAATTTGAAATTTGTTCAATTCCCTCAATGAGTTCTAATTTATAACTATATGTTAAAAAATTCGTCTAGTCCACGCAATGAGTTTCAAATCTACTATATCAAATGATTTAGATCTGAAATTAATTCTCCGCACCTGTTTTTCCTAAAAAAAGTTTCCACCTATAATATTTCCCAAGTCAGCCAATGTATTTGTTACTAATATGCTTCAACAAGATAAATTTTATAAATATCAATTAAAGTAACACATTTTTTTTCAATAATCTGAAATGATTGAATCATTTAAGATTAATGTTACGGGTATATGTGTTCAAATCTTGATTTCTAAAATCAGTAGATTATTTAGAAAAAAAATGGATATATATGTAAAGGAACACTTCTAACAAAAGTAGTTTGATTTAATATATTTAGATAACGTTTTATGTCAAACTATCTTTTATTCTTTATTGCGTATCTCAGAGAGATTATATTAATAATTTTATTATTAAAATAATAGAAAACGACAAGATTTTTTATATGTGAGAAGTTATTATAAAAAGAAAGAAAATCCAAACACTGTAATTTTTCGCCTTTTAACCATTTAAAACAAAATACCATTGGCTTAAAGCTAAATTACAAACTAAAAGTATGAAGACAACTCTTAAACCATTTAAACACACGAATATAAATCCACATAGTTGAGTGATACGGTCGCTCCGAATTAGCGAGATTGCATTTGAGGTAATCAAATTAAGATACATACATATATCTTCATTTTTCCTAATTATTTACTTGTTTATTGCTTGTATTTTTGAGTAAATTTGTCATGATTTTGAGTGCTTAAATAGCTAACATAATTTATGTAATTTTGAAGAGAGGTAGAAAAATGTCGGGGAATGGTGCATCGAGTTCATCAATGAGCATGAAATCAGACGACGACATGGTTGGTAATAACAGGAACAAGAGTGTGTTGGTTGTTGACGATGATCCGCTCCTTCGAATGTTTCATGATACGTATCTCAAACATGTTGGTCTAAAGACCCGAGTGGTTGAGAATGGAAAAAAAGCTGTCGATCTTTTCTATCTTGGAGCTTATTTTGATCTCATTTTAATGGACAAAGAAATGCCTGTCATGAATGGTGTCGAGGTATATATAATATTCAAAATTCAATTTATAGTAATGAAGATTTTGTACCAATTTAACCATACAATAATATTATATATGCGTGTGTTTTACAGGCAACTAAGGCGTTGAGAGCTATGGGAGTGAGTAGCATGATCGTTGGTTTAACTTCTCGTGTGCCACCGTGTGAGATGCAAGCTTTCATGGCGGCTGGCCTCGATTTTTGCTTTGAAAAACCTTTATCTATTAATACAGTCGCTTTTCTTTTAAAAGAGCTCAACAAGAATAACAACAACAATTAATATTTTTCTTTTAAATTTTGTACTAAGCAAATATCTAATAATAAAAGAAAAAAAGAAGTATTCAAGCATATGTGTGTAGGTTTGCTTTGCCCTATCTAGTTATTGTTAAGTACTAGTTTATTGTAATTTATCTTTTTCATAATTAAAAAGATTAATGAATAATGCTTTTTTAATTTAAATATTAAATTTGGTACAACCGTGGCTATGTGCAGAAAACTTTCAATAGTAACATTTCCTTCCTTTATTTTGAATGCATGACACATCCAATTATTTAAACTCTGATGAAGTTCAGAACTGTGGGGCCATGGAATGTTATCACTAATCGAACTCGAATAACAAAAACAGATAAAACATGATAAATTTAAATAAATAATATGTGTTATTATTTTGTCGAATAACATTAATTTATTAAAGAAAATAATATATGAATATATCGATTCAGCTACTAGGTGTGTTATGTCAGTTGTCACTAATGATTTAACAATTTAATTATTGAAAAAAATTTCTTTTTAATGACAATTTAAATGAAAGTTTTTCGATTTTGGTGACTAATAAAAATTTAATAACTATAAATAGAGTTTATCCTTTTAAATTAAATCTAACACAATTCAAACATGATTCCAATAAATAAATCCAACCCTAATGATATTGGATCAGGTCAAAATCAATAAGATTTTTGTCCATTTTAATCCTTAAACTTTTATGCTTTTGCAGTTGAAGTAGAAATAAATCTTACAATCATATAAATAATCACATAAACAACAAGATCAAGTTCAATAGAAACCTGACGCACGAACTATGCTTAAACAAACATGAACAAACTTTATTTTTTTCCAGCACTAGTCGAAATGAGAGCGGGCAATATGTCATCCTATTGATGAAACAGAGTCGCGTTATACTACACAATGGCTCTACCTGTTGAAAAATCAAAAATCACATGGGCTGCTAGTTACCAGCCGATGGCTTTGAAAAAAAAATATTAAAAGCTAATTTTGTTGATTTTTTATATGGTCAAATTACAAACTTTAGGGCATTTTCAAGATTAAGTCTTTAAGATTTAGCTATAAATACCCTATCCCATTTAGCTTCAAAACTATCTCAAAGCATTCTAGCTTTCTTCCAATACTAGAGAGAATTTAGAGAGTTTCTTGAGAGTTGTTTTCTCCTATTTATCAAGAGAGAATTATTGTTTTCTCCTTGGTAAATCGAGAGAAGTTGTAATTCATATTTTCTCATAGTGAAATTATTCTACCGTTGTCCGTGGTTTTTACCCTATATTATTTAGGGGTTTTCCACGTAAATTTTGTGTCTCTTTTATCTTCATTTTTATTTTCTCAAATTATCATTTGCGATTTTGCTCTATCCAATAGCCGTCTTTCGCAACAATTGGTATCAGAGCTAGATTAGAGTGTGTAATATCTGCTTATTGTCTTTGTGGTTGCCACCAAAAGGTAGATCCTCCAACATAAGAAAAATAAAAAGTTATTACCCATTCTTTGAAGGTTCCAGAGAACTATTCACGATAGTGAAATAATGGGAGTTATCCGTAAAAGAAACTACGGCAACGAAATTTGATATTGAAAAATTCAATGGGAGAAATTTCTCATTGTGGAAATTGAAGATGAAGGCCATCTAAGGAAAAACGGGTGTCTAGCGGCTATCAATGAAAGGTCGGTGGATTTCGCAGATGACATCAAATAGAACGAGATGGACGGGAATGCTATAGCAAACTTTCATCTAGCATTAGCAGATGAAGTATTGTCAAGCATCGAGGAGAAAAAGACAGCTAAGGAGATATGAGATTATCTCACCAAATTATACGATGCCACATCGCTGCACAATAAAATTTTCCTGAAGAGAAAATTGTACACTCTCCGGATGTCAGAATCTACTTAAGTGACGAAGCACTTAAATACACTGAACACCTTATTTTCTCAACTTACATCCTTAAGTTGTAAAATATGAAAAATAGGAGAACAAGAACGTATCGATCCTCTTGCATCCTGACGGAAATATAAGCAACATAAAGGTACAAGGTAAAAAGAATGGTGTGAAGATATGATTATTCCAATCAAATCTTCAAGTGGGAGATTGAAAAATCAAAAACCACATGGGCTGCTAGTTAACAGCCGGTGGCTTTGAAAAAAAAATATTAAAAGCCAATTTTGTTGATTTTTTATATGGTCAAATTACAAACTTTAGTCATTAAACTTTAGGGTATTTACAAGATTAAGTCCTTAAGATTTAGCTATAAATACCCTATCCCATTTAGCTTCAAAACCATCCCAAAGCATTCTAGCTTTCTTCTAATACTAGAGAGAATTTAGAGAGTTTCTTGAGAGTTGTTTTCTCCTATTTATCAAGAGAGAATTATTGTTTTCTCCTTGGTAAATCGAGAGAAGTTGTAATTCCTATTTTCTCATAGTGAAATTATTCTACCGTTGTACATAGAGCAAAATCGCAACTCTACCATCCCCGGAGTTCCAATAAGTTTTAAGCTCTGCAAACCCTGTCGCCATCCTGAACCTCCCTCTTCCTCCGACGACCGCCAGCTCTCGATGCGTCTCCATAATCGGATTCCTCTAGAATACGCTGAACGAGCTACCGTTGAATTCGCCCCGAGTAAACCCGAAATCTAAGTACACAACCAGAGACAAGTCTTGTTGACTAGTCAACACCGTGAGGCCTTGAGCATTTCCGATAACCTCTGATGTGATTTCGACGGTTAGAGGGTCATCTGTGGCTAACACGCTGCCGAAGGGAGTCACTGCGCTTCCGGGGTAATATTGTAATGTTCTGACGGGCAACTAAAACAGCAGAAGGGTTTTCTCCGGTGAGTGTGTCGTGTAAAAAGAAGTGAAGATGGGTTACCTTTTCTGGAGCGGGAAAATATGGCACGCTATCGGAGTAATAACCACGGCAAGACGTTAGAACGGTGGCCGACGAGAAGAATAGAATCCATGCGAATATCAAACTTCTTTCCATTGATTTTTTGTCTTAAGAAATGATGGGATTGAGCCCTCAGGCTTATTATATATTGCTAAAAGATACATCCATGGACGGAACCTGAAGTTAAGTTGATATTTTTATATATTTTCATACACGTAAACATCTCTATCAATGATAATTTTATATATTTTAATATAAAATTGGGGCACAGCCACCCACCAATAACGTAGGTTGGTCCCTGGAATACTTCATGGTTCATAAACTAATATTCTTTAAACATCAAGTTATAATCAATTAGTCACGTGGTGATATTTTAAGTTCAAATGTCATAAATGATTTATTAAGAAAATAACAATAAACAGAATATAAAATGAAAATAAAATATATATAAAATTAAAGTGGAAGGTATAATTTTGTTAGTTTTAAACTTAAAAGTACAATCATCAATTTCTATTGTTTCTTTCTCTCGTCTCTTTAGTTTTTATTATATATATATATATATGAATTTTTTATTTATTTTATCTAATAAATCTTTTTTTCCGTATAAAGAATGTTTTTATTTACTCTTGTAATGTATCTTTATCTTGATTTTACAGGTTTTATTCTTTCCAGGTTTGGATGTGTTCTCACCTCTTTAGGTGAGGGTTATTTGGTTAATTCTTTAATTTTATCATGCTTTGATTTTTGTTTACTTCTTTTTATTAGTATGAGGTGGATGTAAGATAATATTTGTTTAAAGATTCTCGACTATTTGATATTAAATGTTTATATCATTGTATACATAATACTCAAACCCAAAATCTCAAAAAATAACAACAATTTTTAAACTGATCACTTGGTTTATGCTTTTTATTTTTGTTGACTTTAATTTATTGATATATATTTTATTTTCTTAATAAAATTAATTGTTAGTATATTTTAGAAAATTAAAGTCAACGAAATGAGATTGTGCTTTATTAATGTTAAGAAAATGTAAGCTTATAATTGATGACAACGAAGCCAAATAATACTCCCTGCATTTGACTTTCCTTCTCTCTTCTATAAAATTCATGTTATTTTATTAAGATAAAGGTCAGGATAAACATTCAGGATTATAAATCTTTCTTTGTAAGCGAAAGTATAAAATTACAGGTCAATTAGTGCACAGTTGATAAAAACATGTCAATTGCTAAACATGAAAAGCAAATTACACTAAAAATAATGTAGTTGAAAGTTTGTATTTAGAATTATAATCTTTTATTTTAATTTGACTAATAAAAAATCGTCTGATAGGATGTATAAGTAATAAGAATCAATGTGTTATTAGGAGAGAATGTCACTCTCAATCAATGTCCTTCAACTCATCTCTGTCAAAACCCTTTAATGTATTCTGATATTGTTATGTTCAATTATAATATAAAATATATTATCGATTGATTTATAACTGTAGGTATTAAAAACATAAATTATAGTCAAATACTCAAGAGTAAGTAGTTGAAGTTCTTCGCTAATACCTTAAGATCTAGACTTCAAGCTCCGATAATGACATTTGCTCCCACAAATTCAATAAAAGGACATTTTAATCTTATTTTTCAAGGTTTGAATGAAGGAGGTTTCCTAATCATAGTAGCTTGCTCAAAGGCATATGCGATTTCAATTAGCTTGCTCTCGGACCCCTTCAATCCCCCAAACAAAATGCCAAAGGGCAGCCCTTGGCTATCGTACCCAGCTGGGACAATAATCGCCGGGAACCCTCCGATTGCATACACAGCAGAAGCATCCGACCTCGGTGTCACCACTGCATCAAGCTCGTTATCTCTCATCAACTTCTCCAATCCATTTTTCGAAAGATTTCCAAGTTTAATAATGCTGCCTTCTCCTGTGCACCAATCCCACTTGTGGCTTCGGCTGCCAAGAAGATTTCCTGGCCTATTTCATCCGTCAATTCCTGCAATAATGCCCACCATGTTAATCTTAAAATAAATGCATACAAGAACACATTTCATGATCTTATAATACCCTACCAAATCAGGGAATTTCAGGTTGAAAGTTATAATATCTGCCAATGATCGCACCGGGGAAACCTCCAAGTCTTCGAGGTAGGCGTTCAAGGACAATTTGAATTCGGCTATGGTTGCTGCTGCTTCGCCGCTTGCGGTGACGTTTAATATGACATCGATGTTGTATATTTGCAAATTGTCAACAACAATGGCACCTAGTCGCCTTAGTGTTTCAAAATGGCTCTCAAAAGTCTGAACCAAACCGAGTCCAATGGTTTTGAAAAATGGATCTCTCACTACCCCCAATCTCTTTCCTTGGAGCCCATAGGGATTAAGGAATCGTTTGTAGCCACCGGGTGGGATATAGTACGATGCAGGTCTAGTTGCTTCATCGTTAGAATCGAAGCCCGCAATGGCATCAAGAACGTACACGGCATCCGATACTGTCCGACAGATAGGCCTGATGTACATCAAATTGTCACATAAGAACCAAAATCACCAAAAATTACAGTGAAAAATGGAGTAGCGTAAAAGAGAGCTTAACCCAATGGTGTCCTGTCTTGGAGTAACCGGAATGACCCCGGCTCGGCTCGTGAGACCAACAGTAGGTTTGAGACCGACCACCGAGTTAAAGCTGGCGGGACATAAGATGGAACCGTCTGTCTCGGTCCCTAATGACACTGTTACCAAGTTTGCAGCCACTGAGATTGCCGGTCCACTACTTGACCCACACGGAGTAGCGGACAAGACATAAGGATTCTGCATGGCATTACAAAACAAGCTCTGTTACTGTTTTGTTATTCACATTTCACTAGAGTGATTCATTTAACTCACCTTTCCCTGTCCACTTCGAGGACTAAAGCCAGCAGGTGCATTAATCGACCTAAAATCAGCCCATTCACTCAGGCTAGCCTTACCCAGAATGATTGCTCCCGCTTGTCTCAGCTTGTTCACCACGCCAGCATCTCTCGGCACAACCGACCCGAGCAATGCAAAGGAGCCGGCCGTGGTATTCAGCTTATCTTTGGTAGCAATGGTATCCTTGAGCAGAATGGGAATGCCGTGCAAGTCAGGCAGTGAACCAGGAAGTTTACACTTCCTTTCTTTATCGGCAGCATCAGCTTGGAGCAATGCGTCGGGGTTCACTTCTATGACCCCTTTAAGGAGACCGTTGAGTCTGGAGATTTCTCCGAGATAGAACTCAACGAGTTGCCTCGAGGTGAGTTGGTTTCTCTCAATACTTTGTTTTATATCTTTTACCGTTGCTTCTCCGATTGAGAATGTATAGTTTGTGATTGTACGGGTGGAAGCACCAAATGAAAATATGGAAGAAAGAATAAAAAACAGGAACAAGGAAGAGATTCTCTCGAAAGAATGGACAGCCATTGGTAAAGCTCCAATGGAGGACTTTGACTCACTATCGAGACAACTCGCAAATTTCGATCCTATATATAGATACCATCCAGGGGTTCTGATTATATAATTCGATGAAACAGGAACTTTCTCTGCTGAACAATTCTACCACCATATAGCGGACATTATTACGATAGCATACCACCGTTTAAATCCATGTTTCGAAGGATAAATTAAAGGGTAACTAAGCCAGCAGAGAAACCTCCAAGCACATGGGAACACTATAACCAACGGGTTTATATGATTATTTTATGAATATATATCTCCAACTCTTCTAACTATACTCAATATTAAATTATTAATCTGCAATTAATTATTTAATTCTGTTTTTTTTAGTTAAGCGGTCTACTTCATGACCAGTTCAAGGGTAGAGACTTTTGCCGTCCGTTTCCGGTAATAAATTTTAGTAATGTTTAATTTGGATCTATGGAAAATGTTTTTGAGGTGAAGAGAATAGCTGATCTCAACTTCATGAGCCCTAAAGAAAAGTTCACCAAAATTAAATGAACTTAATTGTGAAAAAAACATTTAAATCGTATATATATTTTTAATTAAATTATGTTTAATATTCATTCTATATTTATTTTAAATTCAATTTATTACGTTCATTAAAAATATGATGTTCAATAAATATCCGATATTTAATATCCATATGTTGGCTTTCGTAATTCATTTTATCGTTAGTTTTTTCTAATTTTAGAAAAATAAATAGGAAAATAATAATAATAATAGTATCGAAAGAAGATAAAAACTAAAATTATTTTGGACACCAAATATAATTTTAGTTCCAAAAATTATTCTAAACACTTCGATTTTAATATATGTTTGTCTTTTTTTACAAAATCAAAAACCTTAGGTTCAAAATTTAGTCTCAAATATTTTAATTTTAAAAAATCATCTATTCGAAAGTAAAATTAAACTATCCAATTTTTAAATATTATGTTTTTGTATTTGTAACGACGAGTTAGGCAAAAAAAAAGTTACATGTTTGGAATTCAGTAAATTCAGTCAAAATTTTTAGGCGTTAGAAGAATAACATTATTTTATATTTCTTACTTGCTTTTAGATTAATTTTACCTTAATTAGTATTGCAGTTAATTATTTTCCTTATGAATTGATGCATTAGCATCGAGCAAACAATTTGAATAGGGTTCAAATTGTTTATCTTAGCTTTTTTTTTTAATTTTAGAGGTTTCGTTAATTATTTGATACATTAAATTTTAGAGCTTTTCTTTATTTTGTAATTGTATTTTAGCTTTATTTTGTAATAAATTTATCTTTTTACTGTGTTTCTCTTTAATTTTGAAGCTTGATTTGCTTAGTTATTATTTTATCAAAAAAGAAGAGTTTGTATTTGATATACTACACGTGTTTATCTCTATATAATACAAAAGCCTGAAAATGTGGTTATTTAACATATTGTGAAGAAAATTTTGGCAACAATCCCAATCCATTAAACGGTAGCCAAGGGAGAGTCTCTGGTAAGATGAAACGATTGAAGAGGAGGAGGTTTTCTTATCCTGGTAGCCTGTTCAAAGGCATGCGCAATCTCAATTAGCTTGGGTTCTGAGCCTTTCAATCCTCCAAAACAAATCCCAAACGGCATCCCATTGCTTTCATACCCGGCTGGGACCGAAACGCCTGGATACCCTCCAATTGCCAGCACACTCGTGGAAAGTGATATTGCCACCAATGCGTCCGCATTCTGCTCTTTCATCACTTTCTCAAACCCTTCCAGTGAAATGTTGCCTTTAAGTGCAATGAACCATTTATTGATCTGAAAAAATAAAGAGTACTGTTATAGTACCCGAGTAAATCAAGGTGATTCTCAAATGTTGAAACAATGGATCTGTTTAAGGTGTCCAACAATGGATGTCTGATAACTCCCAATCTCTTTCCCATGATTCCATATTTGTTGAGGAATTGTTTATAACCACCATGGGGGATGAATGGAGCAGCTTCCGATGTTGCTTCATGATCTCTCCGGTCGAAGCCGACTATTGCATCCAGCAAGTGAACCGCATCCTCCACTGTCCTCGCCATTGGACTTTTATGTCATCATCAAAGAATATTATTTACTCCAAATTTTAAATGCCTCGATCAAATAGTTCACCACAGTGAATGCATGCAATTGAGACATTGTTTTTCATCTTTTTTCTAGTGTGTATATAGGCTACCTTTTTGTCAATGATTACAATTCAATTGAAACAACAAAACTTACCCAATTGTGTCCTGCCTCGAAGAGATTGGAATAACACCAGCCCGGCTGGTGAGTCCTACGGTTGGCTTGAAACCTACTACGGAGTTATAATCTGCCGGGCAGATTATAGAACCGTGAGTCTCCGATCCAAGTGAAACGCTCACCATGTTAGCAGCGACAGAAATGGCTGGTCCGCTGCTTGATCCACAAGTATCTCCCCCTGCAACGTAAGGATTCTGCAAAGCCACCACCAAACCAAATTAAACCTTTTTTTAATAGTAGAATGATTACAAGATAATGTATGTTTATAATTTTTTTACCTTAGCTTATTGACAACGTAGATACATTTTGTGGATGAACCTGACCGAATCCATATCCTAAAACAACAATCTTTTTTATTACTGAAATCACTCAATCAAATTAAACTTAAATAAATGAAAAGGAGACAGTAAGGTTAAATTGGAGAGAGCGCAAACCCTGAAGTACCTGGGCTTGGCCGCCTCGAGCGCACCAGCCGTTAGGAATTTTAAACAATGACCGAAAAGAATACCATTCCGTTAGAGTCGCTTTCCCTAAAATAACAGCCCCGGCTTTCCTCAGCTTTTCAACCACTCCCGCGTCCCGACCAGCCACAGAGCCCAACATCGCGTATGAACCTGCTGTCGTATTCATTTTATCGTTCGTCGCTATCGAGCCCTTAAGCAGCACTGGGATGCCATGCATGAACGAACGATGATAACGAGGACTGTTACTCCTCTCTCGATCAGCCTCCGCAGCTTGTAGCCGTGCGTCGGGATTGATTTCAAGCACACAACGAAGCGGAGTTGTCAATTCTGCGCAAGTAGAAATCTACCAGCTGCAGTGATGTGTGCTTGTCTTCGCACAAAGCTCTCTGGATGTTCTCGATGGTGGCTTCCTCGATAATGAAACCATCACCGCCTTTGATGGTGATGACCAGAACTGAGAGTATGAAGAAGAGGAGAAGGAGAGAGATCATTTGCAATTAAATTTTATTCACGTTAGATTTTATTTTTATTTTAAATTACTCGTATTGAATCTTATTTTTTTTTATATCGAAAGTAGTAGCCTGCCAAAAGATAGTTTTGATGTACAACCATAAATGATTTGTGGTCCGTATCTTTGCATGATCTAATATTTTAGTGGCATAAGAGGGTTTCCGATCCAACATGTCTGCTTGGAAGAGGCTTACTAGCCAATATCTTTCCGACATGAACCTTGTTAACAGAGCAACTCAAAAAATGGATGTATTTCGACACCAATGATCGAAGACGAATCGGGTCAAAAATTGCTAAACAAATGCTTGATCTCTTTACTAACTAGATGACTTATTTCTTGAGCAACCTAATCAATCCCAAATAAACAATAATAGATAAAGTCAATTCATGTAAAAGTTTTTTAATTATTCGGTGAGGAAATTTTTTAATTATTTATATTGGAAGACCCACATGGATGATCTTCGGATGCAATTTTATCAATAAGTTCATAGAGACCATTCTGTCTTTGAGTATGAAAGGAACTTCGATTTGACTCGTATTCCCCCGAGTTAGCGGCTGTGAGAATGCTGCCATAGAGAAGATGACAGAATGAAGCTTTTATCAAATGGTCATGAAATATCCTGCATTACATCAGTTTATATAATAGTTGTGCCTTCAAGTTTACTCTACCTCTATAACAGATTCAAAACAGACTCCAACATTCATAATAAACTTTAACAGCTCACTCACACACACAATGCTCATATTAGGAGCATATCCACACATTGCATATTCTAGAATACAATCGTGTATTCTAGATACTCTAATATTCTCCCTACTCTTTTCCTTCTCCTTGAGAAAATGAGAAAACCTACACTTTGGGTTAAAATTGGGCAAATGAAGATTTGGACAATGATTTAGTAAACCATTCGTTCTAGTTGAATCGGAAGTGCAATGCTTCTTTCCGTTCAACTTGAATCGGAAGTGTGATGCTTCTTTCCGTTCGATTTGAATCGGAAGTGCCGATGCTTCCTTCCGTTCGATTTGAATCGGAAGTGCTGATGCTTCCTTCCGTTCGATTTGAATCGGAAGTGCCGATGCTTTCTTCCGTTCAACTTGAATCGGAAGTGTCGATTCCTTCTTCCATTCGACTTGAATCGGAAGTGTCGATGCCTTCTTCCGTTCGAATTGAATCGGAAGTGCCAATCCTTCCTTCTGTTCACTTCCATTCTGTCCAGTCATTCGTCGAGAAACCATGTCAGAACCCCCTGCTTCAGCCTCGGCAAGAACATTATTTATCAACTGCTCCGCCTTAGCTATTTGTTCAGGAGTACCCACGAGCTCTACAGGCCTAGTCATGGAATTTGGGTTTGCATCAGTATCTCTTTGGATCTGAATCTTTGCCCCAGATTGTAGTTGAAGATATTCGATGGTTTCTCTAGATTTCCCAATTATAACACCAACCCTATTTTGAGAAATATCAATCTTATTGCTACTACCATGATAGCTTCCATAAGAAACCGGTATGGCTGAAGGAGCAGAGTTTGATGAAGGTTTTATATTAGAAGGAGCGGAGCTAAATCCCTTCTCGTAATCAAAGCCACCGCCAGATCCGTTTTAGACACGAGGGTGCTTCAGCTCAGTGCCAGCAGAGGCAACGGATGCAGTAAGGAGAGCGGCAATCTCCTGAGCTCTCTGCTTGGCCATCTCGATGTCGTCGAGCGGTGGCGGAACGCTGTTGTGGAAGAAGGAGCCGAATTTGGGGAGGAGAAACCTGTAGGCCTCCTACCAGCGAAATACGGCGGTGTTACACGTAACTTTCCCAACAATCTCGTCACTAGTAATAGCTACAACAGCAATAACAGAAGCAGCTGTTTCGGCTTCAGCTTCATAATCTTCCAAACGAAGACAAGATTCATTTGAGTTCTTTTTCTCAAAAAAAAAGCTACAATCATTCTCAGCTTCATAAACATGGTGAGACATTTGAATTTTTGATCGAGATGGACCTAGAGGGCCAAAACCGTGTGAAGCGACAAGAACACCAGAAGGGAAAACTGTCGGAGATGTAACTGCTCCAAATTGTATTTTCTCCAAGTTGCAATCTCAACGAAAACAGTGGAAAACAAATATGTTTTCAGCAGAATCTGATCAGTTGTCACGATTTCATCGAGTGAGTTTTGTGAGATCTGAGAAAACAAGGCATGCTGAGAAGAAATCCCCTGTGAGAATAATTGTTGTGATGGTAGTGATCTAAGTTGTGATGATTGCGGTACACTCGGCGGCAGGCTTGATCTCCTTGTATGAGGAGGAAAAACAGAGATGGAGCCAAGATCACAGGCTTTGCTGATCTTCAACTTCATTTATTCCAGAATCGATTAAATCAAGTGAAAAAATAGAGTTCTCAATAGCAACAGGTTTTTAGAATACGCGAATCAACCTCTCTTTCCAAGTGAGAAAGGGAGAACAATCGGAGAAAAATAAGAGGACGAGGTGAGAGTTTTGGAGAAGAAAGAAAGTGAGAGTAAAGGAACTCAATCGTCGGCGCAACTGTGGAAGAGAAAACGATGTCAGGATCTTTGGCGAATGATACCATGTGAGAATGTTGCCATGGAGAAGATGACAGAATGAAGCTTTTATTAAATGGTCATGAAATACTCTGCATTACACCAGCTTATATAATAGTTGTGCCTTCAAGTTTACTCTACCTCTATAACAGATTCAAAACAGACTCCAACATTCATAATAAACTTTAACAGCTCACTCACACACACAATACTCATATTAGGAGCATATGCACACATTGCATATTCTAGAATACAATCGTGTATTCTAGATACTCTAATAGCGGCGACTGAATCTCTTACATGTAAAATGTTTTTTGAGAGACTTCATAATTGGCAGTATATCCGTCCAATGTTTTGCATGAGTTAACCAGACAAACAAAAGCAGAAGAAAATGTTCAAAATATGAAGACAGTAATGATGAGTAAGGTCAATGTTTCTGGTAGGAGAGCTTCTGATTATATCGGAGTAGCAAAGTCATCTATCAAGTAGCCCGAGACATTAGAGGACAAGGGAGTTCTACACCAACTCAGTCTTGGAGGTTAGAGCAAAGATTTACCCTGGGACCTAGGAAGAGACCTTTGGCCACCACTTCTTTGCTAAGTTTTGGGGAATAAACTAGAGCTTCCATAATGACAGAGTGTGAGTTCTATAGTAAGATGCATTTTGGAGAGTGCAGGAAGATGACTAGAGCATGTTATGAGTGTGGGGCCACTAATCACTTTGTTAGAGATTGCCCGAGATTATCAAGGGATGCACCAGTAGCTTCGGGGAGGTCAACATCATCAGTCTAGAGAGGCAAAGGCTTGTTGCAGGGTGGAGCTAGTACTACTTCGCGATTTTGATGTTCATTACGCTTTATTGCATGACACGCTCCTTATAAATGTGGGGTTTAAACTCAAATCTTCTAAGAAGAAAATTATTATTGAGATCACTAAACTCAAAATTTTAAATATTATAAAATTTCAATTTCTTTAAAAAAATCTCGTAAATAATATTTAATATGATTGTGATAGCTTTTAATATAATTTTATAACATTTAATTTGGATTTGAATAATTTTGATATAACTAGAATCTATTTTATGTCGATGTTTTGATAAAATCATGTTAAATCTTTTTAAAGGAAAATTATGTTAAAATTTTAATTGAATATTGTATTTCTATTAGTTTATTATATATTAATGTAATAATTCATTTTTTATAATTTTTATAATTTATTCTTTAACACACATATTCTTGAATTATACTCACTTATTATTTGCTAATGTCTATTTGAACTTACAGTCTCTAAGAATATATAATTATATTTGTATTTATTGAGATATTTAGAATAATTTAATTCTTGAAAAATGAATTTAGAGTTGAAACTAAATTATTTTGCTTAACCTATACAACGAACTAAATTACGACACAAACAATTGTCATGTAATGCTTCTGGTTGAATTATCTATTACTACTTTTTTTTTAAATTATTTGGCATGTAATGATGCTTCTCATTTACCATTAAAAGAGAAAATCATGGCAAATAGCATATCGTATGAAGTTGGGGACTCCAATTTTATTCTCAGAACATAGGTAAATAAGACCTTCCCTCTTCTGGACATGATTAATGATAAGAAAATGGCATACAAGCCATAAAACTATAGAAACAAATATAAAACGACAAGCCTACAAATAAAATCAGGCAACATAAGATCATTTGCAAGGGGTTAACTTGCAGGTGATTCCGCCGGTGCCGGAATTAGCCCTTATGAACCGTAAACCAGTGATGAGGACGCCTCTGGTTGAACCCATAAGTGCCCAATTCGTATGTGTGACTACACCAACTGAATTGTATGGGAATTGAAGGCTGTTATAGGAGTTGAGAAGGGCTGTTGTGGCTTCCCTCAGCAGTGTCTTGTATGGGTCACCTCGCCCTTTGAGGCTTTCCCGTAGGGTCATATCGGCCCCATACCTCCTTGCGGCAAGTGGCCCGAAAATAAGAGAAACCTTCGACTCGGGGTTCAGTACCCTCCAGTAGCATTTGTACTCCGGCATTGTCCAGTACCTGAAAAAAGTAGAAATACACGACAAAATCATTGATCACTTCTTTGTTGATGAATTACTCTCATGAATTCAATAAAAAGTGCAAATTTGTATGTTAACTAGGCCTGTTGACATAAAGATCCAAGTGTAATTACTGATGTGAACAAGCCGATGCTTCGGAGAAGGGCAACGGTGGCATCGGAGGCAATGGTGGCAGTGGAGGCAATCGTGGCAAAGGCGGCAGCCTGATAGTCGGAGGAGAACCCGTAGGCGGTGCTGGTCCAGGAGGCCTTGTAGGTGTTACTACAGGTGCAGGCACAGGGTTGGATGACTTTGGGCAGAATGACATGGGCTGAGCAGGCTCAGAAAGCAAAGAATCCACCCCAAACATCTCCGTGCCAAACATCCTGAACATGAGTCTCAGTTTTTGGGCAGGACCAGCGGTTGCACCACAATCGTGTGCCCCTTCTCCACTGCCAGAAACCTGTGCATTACAGTTACTTAAGTCCGGCGTTCCATCGAATCGTATCACATAGGTTCCAAATGCATTTGTTTTCTCTTCCCTTGACATTGTCACTTGTGCGTTACCATCAGAACATGTAACCGTGACCTTCATTCCTGCAAGACAGAAATCAATCAATCGAAAACAAGACAGACAAGGCTGATACTCCAAGAGGATAGAAAGTTACCGGAAAGGGGATAATCGAAGACGGATCTCTGGCCATCTTTACATTGGTCACAGAAGACCGCCCCAGAAACCATGGCAGCTGCTTGTGTCCCATCTATGGCTGCTGCAAAAATGACCAAAGCTGTGAACAGGAGCTTATGTGCCAAATCCATAAAACCTGGAGAATAGAGAATAAACCAGAAGGCAGGAAGATCATAAAGTGAAAAGGGAATGACTTCTGTCAATACCAATGGATGTACATCTGCACTTGCAAGGTGAAATAAATAAAGGAGAAGTGTGTTGCCCACTTTTTCAACCCTCAACTGCCTCCATTAATGATCTTCTTTAGAAATTTATGTTTAAAATTATAGAGACATACATACCAGCAAGGCTAACACATTGATTGCAAGCAGATGGATATAAGTTACAATTTCAGAGACCATTAAATGCAGCTGTAGACAGGTTTTAGAAGATAATGTTGGATTTTCAAACACTAACCCTCAAAAACTGACAGTGAACCACCAGGGGATCCTACAAATTTATTACATAACAGTGAGAATGGAACCTGTACCATTCCAAGAGACAAATAGTCCACGTTATTGGTATGAAAGTAGAATTTATGAAACCAACCATTCTTAATGAGATTATGAAGCTGGTGATGATAAATGTTTGGGGTTTCAGAACAACCCCAATATGTGTAAACACAAGGTGGCCGTAATATTTTTGAATATTGGAATTCGGTGGTGCGGGTAATTAGTTGGCCGTCAAAGCAGAGAGGAGTATTGATGAAGTGGGGGCAAAGAGCAAATTCATGTGAAAGCCAGGACACCAAGTTACTATTAACTCCACTGGATTTTTCTTTTCAACTGCATAACACTTTTGAGTTATGCAGTTCTTTTCATGCACTATTGAATTATTGATATATATATATATATATATATATATATATATATATATATATATATATGTCCACTGTAAAAATTATTTCTGCCACTTATTGAAACCAAAGCACGTATAAGTGTCTTCCTCTTCTTCTCAAAGTTGTCTTTTTCAAAAAAATCGTTGAAGTTTTTTTTCCACTCAAATCATATAGATCTGACCACCATTATAATCATTCGATACATTTCCAAGTAAGTGGTAGGATAGAGCAGCCCAATCAGCACCACTCTCATCGGTCATAACACGACCATCGGCCAAAAGACCTAACTGGAATGAAATATCCTTCATCTTTCCATGAGTACAAAAATAAATATTAGTTTCAGCTTACAATCTTCGAACACTCGAGACGCATAATGAAATATGCCTTACTTTAAATATTCCCTCGTGGCTTTAAAGAGAGATTTTTTAATGTTATAAATAAATGAATCAAGAAGATGATTATATTCTTGCTATTTTTTTTATTAAACTAGGATAAGTATAATGTAGTATCTATTCAAAGATAACTCTCGACCATTTGACATTAAACTTCCACACCTTTAGCATTCATGGTGCTCAAATCCAAGACCTTAAAGAATAACAACAATTCCTTTACCACCGAGGTCCCTTGGTTTGTACCACTCTTGTTAATTTTAAATAAGTACATAAACTATTTACTAAAAAAATATTAGTTAATAAAATTAATTGATAAATTTTGTATCATAATAAAATCAAATAAAAACACTAAAACATAATAATTAAAATAAAAAATAATTATATTATACGAAAAATATAATAATTAAGAAATTAAATAATTAAATAGATAATATTATGATGGAGTTTTAGTTTTACACCTTTCTAGAATCATTGGAGGAATAAAAATAGACTATTGAGATGTAGTCATTATTATTTTTTGTGAATGTCTTCTTATTTCGTAATGTTAATCTCATCGTTCTATTTTCACTCATCAAATAATCTTAAAAAAACTTAAAACTAAAAGGTTTTACACTTACCTCTGTTATAAATTGTACAAAGATAATAATTAAACGAAAAATATCAACTTTTTAAAAAATAAATTATAAATTAAATAACTAAATAAATATTTAAAAGAATATCACAATTTATCAAAATATACATACAAGATTTAAAAAACCATAATAAGAAGCTCTTTTATCTCAATTTTTTTAAAACTATAAAAAAGCTAATATGATGTGTAATGTGTTTGGGTTAGTGGAATATTTATAAAGTTTTTAGTCATGACTTTTAAAATTTGAAATCATGAACGACTGAATCAAGAAAGGTGTATTTTAAATTTTAAATTTTATAAAACAGTAATTTTATTAAAAAAATAAAAAAATAGTTAAAATTAAAATCGTAAATTAAATATTTAATTAGAATATTCTTTTATAATCATCGACAAAATAAACTAATCTCTTAAGATTACATAAAGACCATACAAGAATAAGATAAAAAAACTTGACTAAAATATTTTGAATAAATAATAGATACAAATGAATTTGACTGCTACGACAAATAAACTATAACAAATGATACGACTATCGAAAGACTACCGAAAGACCATCGACCAAATAGTCAGAAACATGTCAAAAGATAAAAGAAAACATTTTATAAAAATACAAAAAACCATATTATAAAAATAAAATTATTAAAAGCAAAAAAATAAAAATGTGAGATAAAAAATATCAATAACTACAACCAGACGTTAAAACTGGTGAAATGAACCCTTAGTTGTTAATAAATTATATTATACGCATCTCAATTATACATAACATGTTTAATAGATAAACGAATAACATTTGAAGTGGTAATTTAGTAAATAAAAAAAATCCTAATATTAGTTATGTGGTGAGTAATCATTATCATCATTTTGGAGATGTTTAACTGCTAAATATGGAGTGGAAAATAGCCGGTGCACGCATTTTAAAGCTTTGTGTAGAGAAAATGAAGTTTGGTAGGGAACTATAATTATACTTCAAAATCATTGTTCATGGATTCAACCGAAGCAAAACATTGTTATACAACCCCAAAACCCACTTTATAATTATCGGTGGTGGGATTCCACAAATGAAGTGAGGCTTCCCTTTGCTTTACAAGCTGAGGCTGTGGATCAATCTCCAAAGCACACCTTTACAAATTGTTCTTAAAAAATCAAGAATAACTTTACTTGGGTTGGATTTTGGATCTTCATATTTTGTCTTCTACATCTTGTCTACTTCTTTTATAATAAAGAGTCATTTTTCCACAGGACGGTGGCCGAATACCAACATTGAACTGACCAACCCGATTTCATCTTTATCACATGGAAAATATCAAAAGGGAAGCCAAAGAGAACACAGATATATGATGATGATGAGGAAATAGAGTATCTTATTTAATGGTAGTCCATCATAAAAACTACATAAAGCAAGTTCCTGAAAACCACCAAAAACAGTGAAACTAAGAGCAGAACCATAAAGAGAAGCCTAAATCAGAGATTTTAAAATCACTAAGACATTAAACATCCCAAGTAAAACATAAACCACTCAGTTTTTTTTTCTAGGAAAGCTGCCCACAGTCGGCGATAACGACGGGCTTGGAGGTCCTTCCACCACTAGACCCAACTTTCTCAATGGCTCTCACCACATCCATGCCTTCAACGACTTGTCCAAACACCACATGCTTTCCATCGAGCCATTCAGTCTTAGCGGTGCAGATGAAGAACTGAGATCCGTTGGTTCCGGGTCCGGCGTTGGCCATAGAGAGAATTCCGGGACCGGTGTGCTTCTTGATGAAGTTCTCGTCGGCGAACTTGGATCCGTAGATGGATTCACCTCCGGTTCCGTTTCCGGCGGTGAAATCGCCTCCTTGACACATGAAATTAGGGATCACACGGTGGAAGGATGATCCCTTGTAGTGGAGGGGCTTACCGGATTTTCCGATGCCTTTCTCGCCAGTACAGAGGGCACGGAAGTTCTCGGCTGTGCGTGGAGTAACATCGGCGAAAAGCTCAATCACAATTCGGCCGGCCGGCTGACCACCGACCGCCATGTCGAAGAAGACTTTGGGATTTTGGGCCATAGTGCTGAATTTTTAAGAAGAGATGATCTGATGAGATATTTTTTGCTGCGATGGGTAGTTAGGGTTTTAAGCGAAATAGAACAAGTTTATATAGGAAGAAGAGAGATCACAACCGTTGAGGCATGGACACGTGGGTTGATCGTGACGGGGAAGATTAACCAGCGTAAGGTTTACAATTTGACTAGGGTTAGTCGTAGGTATCCTAGGGAGCTTGGCGGCAAATGCTTTTTTGTCGGTATTGACCGATGGGGAGCAAACGACACCGTTTGTCCTCAAATTAGTAAAGTAGTAGATAGCAGGAGTTTAAATTTTGATTTTGATGGGCCATCTTAATTTTATCACGTTCCGCTGATAAAAGAAAGGTGTTATTTTAATATTTTTAAAAATTATTTATAATTGTAAACACAATAATTTGAATATTGCATTTTTAATAAAAATATAGAGATAATTTATTTAAATATAAATTTTAAAAAATCAATGTAATATTTTTACCATCAAGTGATAAATAAATATATATTCTCTTATCAGGTGAACAATTTTTTGTTTAGATTTCTGTATTAAGTAAAAAATTTAACAATTTGAATATTTTATAAAGAGAATTTATTTCAAGTATAAGTTTTTGAAATATAAAACAAGTTCAATATTTTTAGCATAGCTACCTAATAATTTATTATTTTCAACATTTTCTGTTGAAAATTTTGTATGAAAATATATAATTTGAGTATATGACAATTAAACACGATTAAAATTTAAAGCATCCCTTTAAAAAAATTAAATATTAAAATATTCTAATTATTTATCAATTAGTTATTATTTTTGTGAAAAGAAATGTTATTGCAATTCTATTTTTAATTTAAAAGAAAGAAATAAGTATTAATCACTCCCTGGTGACCTTATTTTAGCATTCCATGTCTGCAAACAATTGATATATATATATTTATTTCGGTTATCTTCTCGATAAACCTAATGTGTCCTTACACTCCTAATGATAAGCTGCATTTCCATTTTAATAATTTTTCAAATCTAAAACACAAACGCGGGATAATCCCCTTGCCATTATGCCATATGGCTATAGTATATAAATGAGTCCTTGCCTAGGGTAATCCTCCATACTCAGTCCCTGTAGGCTATAGTATATAAATGAGTCGAGATAAAATATAAATTATTTTAATTTAATTTGATTAAATTTTAGTTGATACTCAATTTTAATTGAATTGATTTAATTCCTTGACGAGTTAAAATAAATTATTTTAATACTCTATTTGGAAATTTTGTGAATAATTTAAAAAATATAATATATTAAATTTTACTTTTTAAATTCAGTTATTAATAATATTGATATTTATGTATTATTTTTTTATAAAAGTTACAGTGAAAGGCTTTTTATTCAAGAATTAATGCAATATTTTAAATTAAGGGAACAAATTTCTAAAATTTTAGAAACGAGTTAACTTATAAAACTCCAAAATGATTGGTTGTCCCTTGTTCCCATATGTAATGGGGTAAGGGGAGGTAAGATAGTAGGCTGCCCCCAACACTAGGTTGAGAGCAGCTTCCGTAGGAGACCTCCAAATTATGAAATACCCTCATGAGACTCGATCCCACGACCTCAAGGTTAAGAACATTGTGCTCTACCAACTGAGCTGGATGATCATTTCTTATAAAACTCCAAGAGATACAAAAATAGATTTTTAATATAAAATACATAGAAAAAATCTAAAATATATTATAATTTTAAATTTTCAAGGGTGCAATTGCCCCCTAGATTCATCCCTGTTTTCATGTGCTTATAGTTTATGTTTGATTTTAAGGTTCAATCAATCTAAGTCTTAAAATATTTTGAGTTTTTATAAATTCAAGTTAAATTTGATAATTTTAAACTTACAAACTTTCTAATCAAATTAAACTCAACTTAAAAATTTCAAATCAAATCGAATTTAACACTACTCCAATTTAACTCGACTAGTTTACAGCTCTATACCCATCTCACTTGGCCCTTGCAAATTTCATGATTAAACTTTAACATGCATAAGGAAATAATTCCTACAAGAATTGTTATATCGGTTTAATGATCAGAGCTCAAATGGCCCAATAAAAAACATAAAGCTCAAACATCCCAAAGATGAACCACCCATCTCAAATGGTCCATTCTGAACGGGTATAGGTCGTGTTCGTGTAGACATGACGAGTAAATAGCGAATAGTGGTAAGTACATAAAGAACATAGTTTTACATATTTTTAGTGGAGTAGGGATGGATATATGCAATCAATCCTCTTAAAAAAAAATTAACTTTTTATATATTTTAGATATTATTTTATATTTTTAATTAAAAGCTATTTTAATCTCCAAAAATTTTATAAATTTGTATAGTTCATAAAATTTTATAAATTCTCTCTCTGACATCCTTCCAGGTATAACACAATTACCCTATTTATAGGGTTCTGAAAGGCTTGTTGGGGCATTAATTACTATAAGATGTTGGCTACTCAGAATTTACTGGTTTATTAGGTCAGCATCCATCGTCCTTCTCCATTTTCCTATTCACTGTTCGAGTAAATTTCTTCAAGAAAAGATCAAAAGAACTTGGAAAAATACATATGGCTTTGTATCTATACAACTCACCTATGGTGGTGGTGAGCTTTAATATGAGCATCAAAAAGAAAATTAAAGAGAAACTTCATGTTGACTGTTGAAGTTTTAAATTTGGGTAAGCAAAGGAAAGCAATGCACTACTCTTTATTGCAATAAGAAATTAGAAATTCACACATTCACAAAGTGATCACCAAAACATATAAATAATAAATTAATAACTTCGCTCTTAATTTAAACATTTTGTTTTGTTTTCTTCATTCGTATTTCCTTCGAAAGACTTGTATTGCATGCGGTCTTCACACACTAACCTTCATTGATAGCGTGAAAGGATATGCTTTTATGATGAGGAGAAAATGGTGGCAATGGAGGCCATTTTCCGAACTTAGGATGGTGGCGGAAATACTTTGGAGGGATCTTGGGGAGAGGAGGACATGACTTCTTAGGGAACGGTGGGATCTTGGGAAGTGGAGGGAGCGGTTTTGGCTTGTATACAGGAACAGGTGGTGGTAGCGGCTTTGTATAGACTGGAGTCGGAGGTTTGTACACTGGAACTGATGGAGGTAATGGTTTCTTGTATACAGGAACTGGAGGGGGTTTGTAGATTGGAATTGGAGGAGGAAGTGGTTTCTTATATACCGGATCTGGTGGGGGAAGCGGTTTCTTATATACTGGAACTGGAGGAGGATGTGGTTTCCTATAGATTGGAACTGGAGGAGGAAGTGGCTTCTTATATACTGGAAATGGCGGAGGATGTGGCTTCTTGTATACTGGTACTGGCGGAGGAAGTGGCTTCTTGTATACTGGAACTGGTGGAGGAAGTGGCTTCTTGTATTTTGGAACCGGTGGAGGTTTATAGATTGGAACAGGTGGAGGAAGTGGTTTTTCATATACTGGAACTGGCGGTGGTTTAGACACCGGAACCGATGGTGGAAGAGGTTTCTTGTAGATGGTAGGGAAGATTGGGTGATGATGATGGAAGTGGAACCCTGTCAACGGTGGAACGGGAAACGTGGGCAAAGGAGGATGGTTCCACTTTGGCAATGGAGGGAACTGAAGGTGAGGCCAAAAGGTGGCCGAAGCACAGGTTACAGGTGAGAATCTAAGCTTTCCTTTCAACCCAAAGTTGTGTTTCTCGTCGCTAGTGGACTTCAACACTATCTTGACCGACTCCATGCCATCATGTGCAGGACAAGGTTCAGCCGACACACTATGAAGCTGCGCATAACATTCTTCCTTCAATTCCCCATATTTAACCATTTCCACAGGAAGTAACACCTTGAAATTCCCATGTTTATCAAGCTCGCCCGAGCCTCGTGTCTTGAAATACTTCCCATTTTCTTGCTTACAGTCTATGTTTACACGAAGCCCTGTAGAGAAAAAAAAACACAAATATCTGAAGACAATGCCACTGGCAATAGATTACATACATGCAAATGAATGGCCATTGGCCCGTACCTGAAAAGGCCTTGCTAGTCTCGAAGTTATTCTCCGCACAATCTGCACACTCACCAACCCCAACAACCTCGACTTTTTTTCCATCCGCATTGGAGAAACCGACAACAAATAAGTACAGAAAGAAGCACACAAGTGCGCCTCCTCGAACCGACAGGATCTGCATTGGGAACCGAGCTTGTACGGTGTCCCTCCCAAAACAGCTGATTGGCTGATCAGAAATCAAAAGCCAAATGAGATTGAGTGATGGGGAGATTGGATACGGGGGCTTATTATATAATTCAAGAAATTCAATTCAGTCCATTGGCTCACCAACACTTCACTTAAAAGGCCCTCACATGGTTTGGAAAAGAAATTTGCCTTCAATTGAGCAGATGACATTATCTGTTCATTCATTGAGATCTCAACTGAAAACAGCTAAATTTTGCAGCAATGTATGGAAGCATTTGATGGCTGTATAAAGGAGCATTTGAGGCCTTAAAAGCGGTCGCTGAAAGGTATGAAAACACCAATGTATGTATTGCAGGCCATTACTTGAGGGTTTGGTTTTGCTTTACAAGTGAGAATAGCTAAGAAGGTATTTATATGGATGCTCATTTGTTTAACCCGCCCTCTATTTCTCTAGCTTTGAGTTTAAGAAATGTCAGAGAAAAAGTGGAGTCTGCTTATAAGAGACTCAAGCCAATGCTTCCTTCAAGCAGTGAACCTCGGCCAGTGGTGATGAAAGAAATAAGGATAACCCTTTAACTTGCACAAGGAGACAATTCCTAGAACAAAAATTATCTGGGTTCAATGATCTTTACATACAGAGCTCAAATGATCCCACACAATGGCTTCCAAACACACCCAAGGGGGGTGAAAGAGCAAACCATCTCTTGATTTAAGAATTGTCGGACCGTGTGAAAATTTGCCTACACGATCTTGTTCTCCTAGAAAAAGCATCTCAATAGAAAACGTCATCAAATAATACTATTGATGCAGCTTGTTGTCTCGATTTTTTTCCCATTTGAAAATGGTCAAGTACATCTTTTCACCCTTTGAGTCACCTTGTGGAGCAATCACAAAGTTTTCCATTTTTCTGCGATATAAATATACAGTGATTCATAATAAAACAGAACAAACAAAGTCCAAAACCATGTTTTCTTCACGTATTGTCTCCTCAGCGGCTCAGCCATAATGTGAAAAGGTATGTTAAAGCATTGCACCACCTCCTCTCTTTCATCTTGATTTATGCTTTGGAGGATATATTCAATCATTTTTTATTATTATTATTATTTCGGAGGGGAGGGCTCCCGGAAGAACATCGTTGGATGTGAGATACATGACACCTTAAGTCTTATATTCCTCGAAAAATAACAATCCTTTGATATTATTTTTAGGTCTCATGTAATTTGTCAGAATCGATTGACATCTGACCATATTAAGCTGGTTTGCCTATCCATGTAACATACAAATAGTCATCACGTACATGCACTTACCACTAACACTCAAGGTCTGTGTATAAGTGACCACTTATGACTAAAATGGTATAAGTTCTTTGTATCTCTTATATTTTCATATCTAAAAAATAAGATAATATGGGTCATCTACAACTCCATCATTAAACACCGATTGTGACTTTCCATTCAAGCCTCCTCATGACATTCTTTAGACTAAGGGGATAACAAAATGTTATACTTCTTTTGATTCTCTTCCACTTCGCACATCAAGACATTTCCTCTTTTAGAGGGGAGGGCCCCGGAAAAACATCTCCGATTACGAGATAAGGGACAATCAAAGCCCTATACCCCTTGAGAAATAATAATTCTTTGACATTACTTCTAGCAAATTTCACCTGATTTATTAAAATTAATTAACAGCTAAGTACATCATGCAAGTTTACTCGTCTTACTAACATACAACTAAATAATTATTATGGACTTACATCTGAAACTAACATTAAAAATCATTATAAAACTTTTGATTAAGATCGTGAGAGAAAGAGACATACAAAATATCATATTTATCTTTCTTTCTCGTAAATAAAAAGACTTTTATATCAACTAATGATCATTTAACAAGTTATAATTCTCTAAATTACCCGTAGCTTCCCTAAGTAATTTGTTCCCGTTAGTAAAGACAGAATATTCGGATAAATTAGACATTCTGACCAGTATAGAGATAATAATGATGATGATTGGACAAAGAAGAATAGTGGTAAGTACATAAAGAACAAGAGTTATGCAGATTTTTAATGAGAGATACAAGTATAAGATAACAACTCTATTTATAGGGTTCTGAAGGGTTTGTTGAATGTTGGGGCATTAGTTATAAGATGTTTGCTACTCATGATTTTCAGAAACGGACCGGTTAGTGAACCGGTCATGCTATCGGTTCACTGGTTTAACCGGTCGAACCGGTCCGACCGGTCGGAAGAACCGGACGACGTCATAATTATTTAAAAAATTAAATAAAAATACCAAAAATATTTTAATAAAAAATAATTTTTTATATCACAAGTCATATTCAAAGCAAGTCATAACATATATAAGTTAAAAACCATAAAATCAAGTGAAACAAAATGATTCAAATTAACTACAACATAATATTTAAGGTAAAACATATTAAATAATAAATAATAATTATATAACTATAATTAAAAAATAAATTTGGGATTAAAAATCATAACAAAATGATATTGTTTGGTTTAATTTTTTTTAAAAACAATCATACATAGCTAAGAAACATAGAAGAGCATCCCAAAAGTCTAAAGAGTAAAAATATGAAAACAAAACAATCTCACATTGCTAAGAAACATAGAAGCGCATCACAACTAACTTCCATAAATAATAGAGGTAATTTAACATTCAAAATCATGGAGCCTTTTGGTGAGTATTGAGTAAACTATTCTTTCACTTTAATCAAGCTCGAATTTTAGGTTTCAATCGAGTTTCTATTTTTTTTTTTGAGTTCAAGCCTTTTTGAGTTTAAGTTTCAATATTATATTTAGAGTTTGAGTTGAATTTAATAATTTTTAGCTTGTGAGTTTGAGTTGAGTTGAGCTTACTTTTAAAGTTTTCAAGTTCGAGTCGAGCTCAGCAATACTCGAGTTCGACTTGGCTCGTTTAACAAACGACGTTGTTTTGTTTACTTTTTTTTTTAAAAACAAAAACAAAAATCCCGGTTTTTTCCGGTTTTCAGCCGGTCCGGTTCGAACGGTTCAGCGATTCTGGCCAGTTCACTAATAGCGGTTCAACGGTTTAGATTGAACCAGACTAAGCAACGGTTCCCGGTTGAACCGGCCAGTCCGGTCCGGTAATGCCACTCAATATTTACTGGCCCATTAGGTCAGCATCCACCGTCCCCTCCATTTTAATATTCATTGATTCATGTGTAAATTTCTTCACGAAAAGTTCAGTCCCGCAAAATTGCTCCAATGATATGTTAAAAAAATTGTCGATATAAGGTGTTAGTAACATTATTTTTTTTCGAATAGAATATTTATTGTAGTATTTATTAGAATTCGTTTGAACCATCTAATAATTTTTAAAGTACCATTAGCTATTTTGGTTATTGTACGTGCACGAAGTATGAAGAATATATCCTACGATTCAATACTATTAGCTTTAATATGAGCATCAAAAAGAAAATTGAAGAGAATCATCATGTGACTTTTAAAGTCTTAAATTTGGGTAAGCAAATGAAAGCAATGCACTACTGTTTATTGCTATAGAAAATTAGAAATTCACGCATTCACAAAGTGATCGCCAAAACATAAACAATTAATAAATTATACTAATAACTTCGCTCTTAATTTAAACATTTTTTTCTTCATTCGTCTTTCCTTCAGAAGACTTTTATTGCATGCAGTCTTCACACACTAGCCTTCATTGATAGTGTAAAAGGATATGCTTTATCGCTACAAAAGCTTAGGGATGATGAGGAGAAAATGGTGGCAATGGAGGCCATTTTCCGAACTTAGGATGGTGGTGGAAATACTTTGGAGGAATCTTGGGAAGGGGAGGGCATGGCTTCTTAGGGAATGGTGGGATTTTGGGAAGTGGAGGGAGCGGTTTTGGCCTGTATACAGGAACAGGTGGTGGTAGCGGCTTTGTATAGATTGGAGTCGGAGGTTGTTTGTACACTGGAACTGGTGGAGGTAATGGTTTCCTGTATACAGGAACTGGAGGAGGAAATGGTTTCTTATATACCGGAACTGGTGGAGGAAGTGGTTTCTTGTATACCGGGACCGGAGGAGATTTATAGACCGGAGGCTTGTAAACTGGGACTGGAGATGGATGTGGTTTCTTATAGACTGGAACTGGAGAGGGATGTGGTTTCTTATGTACTGGAACTGGAGGAAGAAGTGGCTTCTTGTATACTGGAACTGGTGGAGGAAGTGGTTTTCATATACTGGAACTGGCGGAGGTTTAGACACCGGAACCGATGGTGGAAGAGGTTTCATGTAGATTGGAGGGAAGATTGGATGATGATGATGGAAGTGGAACCCATTCGACGGGGGAAGGGGAAACGTGGGCAAAGGAGGATGGTTCCACTTTGGCAATGGAGGATGATGCCAAAAGGTGGCTGAAGCACACGTTACAGGTGAGAATCTGAGCTTTCCTTTCAACCCAAAGTTGTGTTTCTCATCGCTAGTGGACTTCAACACTATCTTGACCGACTCTATGCCATCATGTGCGGGACAAGGTTCATCCAACACACTATGAAGCTGCGCATAGCATTCTTCCATCAATTCCCCATCTTTAACCATCTCCTCAGGCAGTGAAACCTTAAAATTCCCTTCTTTATCAAGCTCACCCGAACCTCGTTTGTTGAAGTACTCCCCATTTTTTGGCTTGCAGTCTATGTTTACACGAAGCCCTGTAGAGAGAAAAACACAAATCACTGAAGACAATGCCACAGTCAATACATTACATGCATGCAAATGAATGGCCATTGGCCAGTACCTGAAAATGCCTTGCTAGTCTCGAAGTTATTCTCCGCACAATCTGCACACTCACCAACCCCAACAACCTCGACTGTTTTGCCATCCGCATTGGAGAAACCGACAACAAATAAGTACAGAAAGCAGCACACAAGTGCGCCTCCTCGAACCGGGAGGACCTGCATTGGGAATCGAGCTTGTACGGTGTCTCTCCCAAAACAGCTGATTGGCAGATCAGAAATCAAAAGCCAAATGAGATTGAGTGATGGGGAGATTGGATACGGAGGCTTATTATATAACGATCTTGAAAGGAATTCAATTCAGTCCATTGGCTCACCGACGCCTCACTTAAAAGCCCTCACATGGTTTGTAAAAGAAATTTGCCTTCAATTGAGCAGATGTCATTAACTATTCATTCAATGAGATCTCAACTGCAAACTGCTAAATTTTGCCGTCTGTTTAAACCTACTTACTGATTTTCATAAATATAACCTTTTCTTAGAGATGAATTTTGGTTGAATTACAAGAATGATCATTGGAGAAATGGTTTAAAAGTATATATAACAATTAGCTACCATTAGACCCCTTGATTTTTATTTTATTTTATTTATTTATTGCATTTTATAATATTATGTGCAGTTCATCCATGGCTTCAAAATTTCCAGGTTTTGGAGCAAAAAGCAATGGACTTTAATTTGTAAGATATTTTATTTTCTTGACCTAATACTTGGGGACCATATCTAATAAACCATGTGACTTAGGGTCTAATGGTAGTTAATTGTTATATCTACTTTTTAGCATTAATTAATAAAATCCATAAATAGCGTGAAACAAATATACTTTTAATGCTGCATTGGAAAGCAAAAACTGGATTTTCAACACTTGTTTGTCAGAATTAGAGGTCTTTATCTGGACGAACACAAGAATTTATATTAGAGAGTGAAAATTTAAGAAATTTTATTAAAAATATAGGGTATGAAATTATAAAATTTTATGGGTTTTAAATTTGATAATTCATATAAAATATAAAAAAAATACTTAAAATATAAGAGGTTTTAAAATTTATAGACCCTCGGTCCATCCTTGGGTCAAAGGACTAGTGACATAGGATAATCATATGCTTAAGAAAAAGAAATCAACAAACAACATCACATCAAACAAATTAAACACATAAATGTTGAAAATATAGCTACAAGTCAACATAGTAAACGTGGGGTCAAAGGCTACTCAATTACAACAAATCAAACACTATTATGATTTATGCACCTTAATGTTTGGTGAGATGAACTGTGGATGATATCAGTTCACAAACCACAGATGAGCAACACGATAATGCAAAATTCAAAATTATTTTTTATTGACAACGCACATATTTTTTACGTACATAATTATTTGAACTTAAATATTTTAAAAAATAATAATTTTTTATTTTATCACTAAAACTATCCAATAAATTCCTCGTAAGATTCTAAAATATCTTGCAGGGAAAAAGGGAAGTAAAGCAATAATGTGTTTTTGAGAGCACGTCACTTAACTGATAACCCCCATAGGGCAATTTCTTGATTGATAGGATGACCAGCCTTCACATTCAAAGATGTGGGTCTGTATGCATGGATTTTTAAGCTTTGAAAAGAGACAGATGTGGCTATAGTGCCGCAAATTTTGGTTATAAGAATTCAAAACACGATTGAATCAAATTCTTATGTACTAGTATTAATTTTAGGTTGAACGAAAAGCAAACCCAAATACAAAATTATAAGGTGAAGTTAGTCCTATCTTGGGGTTTTTAGTTTTATGGCTATACATGATTATGCAAAAACCAATAGAAATGGTTAATAATGCCCCAGCAGTATTTGGGTACAAAAACCGAAAAGGAGTTATGGTTTTAGCATGCTCTCAAGTTTATTATTCTTGTCGTATTTGAAAGTTTTCCATACAAATGATTAGATGTTTTTAGAACCCAAACAATGATCTCAATGGCAAAGAATACTTCTAAAAACTCAAAGAAGTAATCTCAATCATAAAATATGGCAGATGATATTCTCTCTAAATAATCTAAGTTTTGTCTTGAAGATGTATGAAATGGAACTACATGAAGAATAATAAAAACATACAACACTGATCAAAATAAATTTTTTATAAAAAAAAATCAAAAATTTTAAGAGACATAATGAAAATTTTAAAAATTTTGGGGCTTGATGATAATATCTAAAAAATGAGGGGCCTGATTAAAATTTTAAAAAAAACATCATGTGATTAAGAAATTTTCCTCAAATAAATTAAACCTTCAGCTTCGTATCCCTTTTTTCCTTAAAAAAGACATGATTCCAACGACCTCGTCAAAATAAAATAAATTGAACCACCAGCTTCGTACCCTAAGTCTAATTCTCAAACTACTTGTGTATGCACACCCGATCTACTTTTTCTTTGATTTGGAAGCTGACAGAGTGTAAGCAGTTCCCTGAAAATTAAGACAGCCAAAACAGGAAATTTTCAGCAAAAGCTTTATAGATTAGTCAAGTATGCTCTATAGATTTAAGACAGTGGTCCACAATACAAGCAGTTCAGGGTGAATGGACCGAAAATAAAAGCGCTGTAACTGCATTAAAAGATCATGGGAAGTAAATGACGACGCATAAGCCAAGTGATAACCTGAAGCCATTCATCCATCGAGGTATCGGTACTCCGAGTTCCGACTTCCACCTTTGGAGCCTTTTTAGTTTTCTAAGAATAACAAATAATAAACGTACGAAAACCTATTAGGTTTACTCCACAAAAGAAAATACAAGAAACATGAAACAATAGATACAAGCATTTTTCCGTTCCGGCTCTCTCCTTACAAGTACGAACTTCTCCTTTCGGACAGTTTGATTAGGTCTTATAACAAAAAGGTTTCGAACATATGCCAATCCTGTCCCACGCATCCTTTAGTATTGTACATAGTTTCTAGAATAAATTAATATATCTGGAGAAGGTGGCACGATTATAGTACCTTGGTTATATGCTGAAACTGACCATGAAGCCATAAAACAAAGAGAACAAGTGCGATCCCAAGGGTAACAAGAAAAACAGACTCAACACTGACAAAACCACCAGCTTCAACAACTTCAATGGTACCATTGTAGAATGTATTTTGGTAGGGGTACTGGTCAATTTCGTAGACTATTGTACCCACAAGATCAAAAGTTCCAGGCTGCATCAAAGTTTTAGACATATGAGCTTAACCGCAACACTTTCTTCACAAAAGAAATTTATATACAGTTCTAAAGCATAAAACTCCCGGAGTAATCATTTACCTGTAAGTACTTGCTAACAGAAAACATGTAAGGGAAAGTAGCTTGCACTGAAGGCGATACAGATGCGTTGTTGAAGGTCTATATTAAAACAACACATTTTTAGTTGCATAATCTACAGGCATATGTAACAAGGCAGTTTCAATCCAGCAACATGAGCCGTAAAACTCATAGATAACAGGTGCGTTATCAACTTTTTAGCACTAAAGAAGCTTAAAATCCTTTTCAAATGACGCAACAAGCATTTTATAGGGTTTAGGGTAAAGTACAAAAGAGAGCAAAAATCTAGAACTTAAGCCACAGAACAGTCGGAAATCCAAATCAACATTATTGGCACACTCTCTGCCATTGTTTCTTAGACTGATCTAAAAACTAAATGCAGGTTCAACATCCATCCTTCAAATTAATTAGCATCAGCAAAAATCAACTCCACTATCACTGTTAAAGCTCATTAAAGTAGGTAAGAAGTAGCAGGGCGAACACAAAATAATTAGTCACAATCCATAAAACTCATCATTAGCCACATGTTTGATGATGGATATTTAAGACATTCAGAGTATGCATGATTTAGTCAATCCCTTTTAACCATGTAAACGACAAAATAGGATAAGCAAACATATAATGATCTAGAAGGATAAAAAATAATAAATGCTTAATTTAACTTAAAAACTAGAAGGCAAGATATTCAATGATGTAAAGATTTTAAGTTAGGAAATTAAAGAAACCAATCAAAATGAAAACTGAAATGCATGAGTTTTTGAAAATATTACAAGAAAAATATTATGAAAACCTATGCTTACCTGAGCTGTAAGGTTTTGAACAAGCATTCGATGATCATAAGGGAGATGAACACTGGCTTGGATTCCGATGATATTTAAAGGTGATCCCCCTGCAATTTAAAAAAAAAATAAGCTAGACATGAGAGAGGACTGGCATGGCTAATGAAAAAGTGGCAAGTATTTAAGTCTAACGAATGGAGGACAGATAAATTAACCTAATTCAAAACATAATATCAAATTGCATTGTGAAAAGAGCCAGTAAAGTTGTTAAGACAAACTAATTACCAATATTTTCCATCCCAACTAAAAGTTCAGTCTCTTCTCCGGCCACAACCACTGTCCAAGAGAGAAAAAAATGAAGAGTTAACCATTACCAATCAAATAGAAATACAAAATCATACAACATCAAATTGTTCTTACATTTTGCGCTATTTTGGGGGAAACGCATACAGTTCCAACTCCCGGAGCTGGGGCAAAGCTCTCACCACCAAAATCTGGAACATCCTGAGCAACAATCCCAAGATCCCCTCCATCAACAGCTTCTGCAACATCTACCTCTGCTTCTGACACCTAGAGACTATCACAGAAATGAAAATTCATGTCAGTGTTACAACATAATTTAAAACATCGTTAGCTGTTTATTTATCTCTTAACAAAAGGTAAAAAATAACGATGTAAGAAACAAATTCAGTTTTTCCTGGAAATACAACTTCAAGAATGTTACATAAAAGTAGTTACAAGCATTTTCGCCCAAAAACAAAAGGTACTCGACAAGAACGCTTTTCGTTGCCTTTTCTTAGAGCAAAAAAAGAAAGCTAAACTCGACTTTGAAAACCGCTAAAGTCACGGTAGAAAAGGTATCAAATTATAGGAAGGATGCCTCGTGCCTAAGCATTTTCTTTTAAAAAATCAAATAAAACTGAAATGTCAGGGACATGCAATGCAACTATGATTTAGAAAACAAAGAAATCACGTCAAATTCACACTATCGGATCATAAATAGAGAAATGAAAATCAATCCACTTAGATGTAACCGGAATTTTCTTTTTTTCCTTGGAAAAAAAGTACTAAAAGAGAACGAATAGAATTACAAGTTTACAACTCCTTTCAACAGATAAAAACAACCGCACATAAGAATACAAGCCAAAAAATCCAAAAGTAAGATCCAGACTCCGCAGA